AGATAACCCAAGGAATGTAGGAATACGGATTCCTTATCTCAGAACATTTGAATTAAGCAGTATCAGCACATCTGGTCTTTGTCTGTTTTTCTAGTCAAGTAAGCTAATTACTTCTACAGTACTGAGAGAAGGGATATGGCTTGATGATGGGTTAATGGGTAAGGGGGGTCCTTAAGTTGCCATTTCAGTTCCCTGAACATTTTTCTTAGGATAACATAGACATGTAGGTCTCCTACATTATCTCTGTTCTAAACAGGCATAACTTCCACAAGCTGCCCCATGTTCCCAGCTGGTGGAGGCAGTATACTGGTTAGATGAAAGGAGCCAATAGCAGCAGAGCAGTGTAAAAGGCACTTCCTATCCTAACAAAGAAGGAGCAATATGCAGGGAAACAGAGATCCACATGTTTCATTCCATCCGTTCCCATGGATCTCCATTCTGCTTGTGGTATTTTTGGCCATTTCTTCCTATTTTATGCCACTACAAGGACATGTCTACAAGTGCACTTTACTGTTTTACGGCACATTAAAGCTACATGTAAAAAAAGTGCAATTACAGTAATGTTCAGTAAGATAGGCTACTGTGCATTAAGCATCACTTGAAAAATGTGCACTTTCAGTACTGCACAATAGAGCAGCCTAATGCACATTTACTTAGTACCTCACAATGGAGGTACTAAATTTAATGCACATTAGGAAAGATTCATAGATTCATTGATTGTGAGGCTGGAAGGGACCTCGGAAGATCATCGAGTCCAGCTCCCCTGCACTGAGCAGGAAAGACAACTGGGGTCAGCTGACCCCAGCAAGGTGACCATCCAATCTCCTCTTGAAGATTTCCAGGGTAGGTGATTACACCACCTCTGGAGGGAGCTTATTTCACAGTGTGGACACCCTAGCTGTGAAGAAGTTTTTCCTAATGTTGAGCCTGAAACTATCTTCTGGGAGTTTGTGACCATTACTCCTGGTTTTCTCCAAGGGTGCCCTGGTGAACAGTTGCTCACCGAGCCCTTGATGTACACCCCTGATGTAGCAGTAAGCTACTACCAAGTCCCCTCTCAGACTTCTCTTTTTCAGGCTGAAGAGTCCCAGGTCCCTCAGCCTTTTCTTGTATGGCTTGCCGTGCAAGTCTCTGATCATACGGGTGGCCCTTCTTTAGACTGTCTCAAGCTTTACCACATCCTTGTTAACGTGTGGCACCCAGAATTGGATGCAGTACTCCAGCTGTGGTCTCACCAAAGCTGAGTAGAGTAAAACAATCACTTCCTTGGTTTTGCTGGAGATGCATCAATTGATGCATGCCAGAGTATTATTTGCCCTGTTGGTTACAGCATCACACTGCTGGCTCATGTTCATACTGTGGTCTTTTATTACCCCCAGGTCCCTTTCATTCATAGTTTTCATCAGATTGGCATTGCCAAGCCTGTAGGTGTGTAGGGGATTGTTTGTCTCCAGATGGAGCACTTTACATTTCTCGATCTTGAACTTCATCTGGTTCTGATCTGCCCAACTTGCCAGCCTGTCTAGGTCTGCCTGTATCTTCAAGCATGACCATGCTTCCCCATAACTTGGTGATGTCCATGAACTTGGCCAGCGAGCTCTTCACCCCCACATCCAAATCATCAATGAAGATGTTGAATAGCATTGGACCATGCACTGACCCCTGAGGGACACCACTGGCCACTTCTTGCCAAGACAACACAGATCCGCTACTTAGGACTCTCTGGGTCCTACCCCACAGTCAGCTTCCTACCTACCTAACTGTCAAGCAGTTAAGCCCACAATCCTCCAGTTTTGTCGCAAGAACATCATGGGATACCAGATCTAAAGCTTTTTGGAAGTCAAGGTATACAATGTCAACCTCCTGTCTCTTATCCAGGTGGTGAGTTACCTGATCATAAAAGGAGATGAGGTTGGTAAGAGAAGACCTTCCCATGACAAAGCCATACTGGCTGTCACTCAGAATCCTACCTTCTGCAAACCCATCACACATAGATTCCTTAATGAATTTTACCAGGATTTTCCCAGGGATAGAAGTTAGGCTAATTGGCCTATAGTTACCCGGGCCCTCCCTTCTCCCCTTCTTGAAGATGGGTACAACATTGGTCCTCTTTCAGTCCTCAGAGACCTCTCCGGAGCACCACGAATTTTGGAAGAGTTTCACCAGGGGTTCTGTGATGACTTTGCCCTTCAGCA